ACTCACAATCTTGATGAATAAAATCACATTTTTTTCATATTTTATTTGTATGGTTTATTTATTTTTCATATTTTTAAAATTTATTGCAAACAATCTAGCACGCCCAGTGGGACCAAATTTGCCCTTCATCTCTTCTCTCTTAAATCAAATCTGAAAATCTGAAGCTGCAAAGGTGGAAGAATGAGTGTAGGCAGTGAAGTTTTATTGATAAATCCATATTAAATTTGGGTTAAGTCTTAAATCATCATACGTTGACCAAGTCATATTACTGGTTGATATAGTCGGATTAATATCTAAGTCAAAATTATATGACTTAATCAAGTCCAAATCACTTGGGTCAGTCCATTAAGTTGACAAGATGAGCCCAACTCATGTTCTTCAGGACCAGGGACAAAAAATTGTTCAGACCAAAATAACCCTAAATGCCTAAATTAAGACTATATAAAGAGGTCTTCTTCTGATCAAAAGACACAAAAATACATACATACAAGAATACATAGTTGCTCTTCAGTGGTGATCTGCAAGTCTTCCGCATACAAAGAAGTCTTCTCTCCAAGTGTTAAGCCGCAAGTATTCCATCAAATAAAGATCATTCGTGAAGAGAAAAATCAGATGATTTCATCTTTTATCAAAGATTTCATAAAGATTGTAACCTTCACATAAATCCAAATTCAAATATTATTGTTTGCTTGCTATATTTCCTTTCCTGTTTGCTATTTTTTAGGGACGAAACTTTAGACGCATACAAATTGGCACGCCCAGTTGGACAAAATCTTCCCTTCATCTCTTTTCTCTTAAATCAAATCTGAAAATCAGAAGCTGCAAAGGTGGAAGAATGAGTACTTCAAGCCTCCTCTTTGAGTTTCACAAGTCTACGCTCCGTCAAGCCTTGAAGCAGGGGGCATTTGTAGATATTGAAATTTTGTGAGACTCCATAGGATGCGTTCAATTCGAGTTGGGACTCTACATATTGTGTTCAACTAAGATAAGAATTCTTGGAGGCTACTCAACCCTAAACCCTAGTTTATGCCTATATAAAAGGTACTAAATTCCCTTAAAAGGCATCTAAGAAATTCCATAAAGATATCAAAATCTTGAATACTCCGCAAATTGATGGATATTCATATCGAGAGGTCAAATCTAAATCATCCTAGTTTGAGAAATATGTCACTAACGGCCCACATATCATGGATAAGTCTTAAGAGAGTGAGAATCAAGGGATCATCAGAATTGTACACCCAATCTATCATGATTAATAAAAAATCATGTTTCTTCATATTTTATTTGTATTATTTATTTATTTTCCATATATTTAAAATTTGTTGCAAACAAATCGGCACGCCCAGTGGGACCAAATCTGCCCTTCATCTCTTCTCTTAAATCAAATCTGAAAATCTGAAGCTGCAAAGAAGGAAGAATGAGAAATTCAAGTGCCTCCTATTTGAGTTTTACAAGTCTACACTACGTCAAGCCTTGAAGTACGGGGCATTTGTAGACATTGAAAATTTGTGAGACTCTACAAGATGCGTTCAATTCGAGTTAGGACTCTACAAATTGTGTTTAACTCAGATAAGAAGTCTTGGAGGCTACTCACTCTAAACCCTAGTTTATGCCTATATAAAGGGTACTAAATTCCCTTAAAAGGCATCTTAGAAATTCCATAAAGAGATCAAGATCTCGAATACTCCACAAATTGATGGATTATTCATATAAAGAGGTCAAATCTAAATCATCCTAGTTCGAGAAATATGTCACTAACGACCATCGAATCATGGATAAATGTTAAGAGATTAGAATCAAGGGATCAACAGAATTGTACCCCCAATATATCTTGATTAATAAAATCATGTTTCTTCAAATTGCGTACAAATCTGTCCTCCCGTGATTCTACTCTCTAAGATGATTTATCCATGATTCGAGAGCCGTTAGTGGCATATTTCTCAAATTATGATGATTTAGATTTGATCTCTCTATATTAATAATCCATCAATTTGCGGAGTATTCGAGATCTTGATCTTTTTATGGAATTTCCGAGATGCCTTCTAAGGGAATTTAGTTCCCTTTATATAGGTATAAACTAGGGTTTAGGGTTGAGTAGCCTCCAAGAATCCTAATCTGAATTTAACAAAATTTGTAGAGTCCCAACTCGAATTGAACGCATCTTGTAGAGTCCACAAAATTTCAATGTCTACATGGTGGAATCGCTCTCATTCTTTCCTTTCAAACTGTCTGTTATGTTTTGTCACTATTCCAATAGTAAAATTCAGTATTTCAATTAAACAGATGTAATCCATTTCTTCGTTTTTGCCAAGAGGATATTGCAATGTAGATATATACAATTTATGTTCTTATTGAAATGATTCTCAAACTTCTACTCAAGTGTGTTACACTAAAATAATAACCACGAAACTTCTCTTCCTCAATCTCATGTGAATTTACTTTACTATTATCTAATAGTGCAATTAATCTAGATACTCAAATTCTCCTCATATTTTCAATATTGGTTTATAACTTCTGTTGAGATTAATGGCCTAATTGACAAGTTGTTTCTCACCAACAATAATTTCAAAAAAGATGATGCTTTTAAATATTATAATTGATTTTAAAAGTTCAGCCAAACATTTTGTAAGTCCAAAAGTATAAGATACTTCAAGAGGAGAAATCATTGATGTTTGTATATAGTATAACCAAGAGCAGGGTCAAGATCCAGAGATGGAAACAAAAACGCTCTAGTTTAAAAATAAAAGGCAGAATAGTCTAGTGGACCTTCGTACTTGTATCGGATTGTATTATCAACTCTTCTACTTAGCTTTTTGTCATATGGAACCTTATACTCAACATAACACAATATATAAACCTCTCTGACCATTGATCATTCTTATATGACATTAATATAGATGAGTTGACAAGAGAGTGTAGTCACACGCCTACAAAGGCAAGTGAACATGATATTTGAAATTTCAAGTTTTACTTTTAAATTATTAAAATTATTTTTTAAAAAAAGAAAAAAACTCCATCTTCTTCCCCACACTACCTCCATCTTCTTCCCCACATTATCTTTTTTCCAGCCACCCCAAACCCAACCTATTTTTTTTCTTATCCACACCCTATTGTGATTTATCTTTATTTTTATTTCACTTCTTTCTTCTTTTCCCCACCCATCCCTATTTTTTTCCTCTTCAAATATCACTTTCCCTCTTTTTCCCCTCCCATACCTAAATTTCTTTCTACCTTTCCTTGCTCGATTTCAACTTCTTTGTTGTTTTTTTTTGTTACATTAAATAAAAAACGAAATTGGGCAAAAAATTTCAACATAATAAGCAAAGAAAAATCAGAAATTAGTGAAGTTGTTGTATCTCTAATGAGTAACTTGACCTCTTTTAAAGTCAAAATTATTCTTGTATTTGTAAGCAATTTGGGGTGTGAAATAGTAGTTAGCATTAGATTATGAAAAATTTGGTTAAATCTGGTTGTTAGGTGGCTTGGTTGTTGTTATTGTGGTTGTTAGATGACTTAGGTTGTTTTTACTTTGATTTCGCCGGTTAAAAATGGACGCTGCCGTCAAAAATGGAGACGACGCAATGGCTCATCGATTTCTCCGACATCGACGAGATTTTCTACCTTGTTTCGATCAGTTTGTATTGTTATCCATGCCGAAAAATCAGAAATGCTATATTGGGTTTTACAATTGGATTCTAATGGGTTTTATGACGCCGAGTTGGTGGTGAAATAGTGAAAACAGGGAGGATTAGAAATGTCAATAATAAATTAAAATGGCACTAGCGGGGAGTGAAGTAGTTTCATGGCTTCATCAGATTATTGGATTGTAAAAAAATCGAACAAGAAAAAAAATGGTGATCTGGAGATGGTGGAGTTTTGACAGTGATGGTGGGTTAGGGAAGGTGGAGGAAAGGTGTACAAAAATAATTATGTTATTTTATTTGATAAAATACAATTTTTTATATTTGTCCTTTATTTATATTTTTACTAATACTTAAAAAATTACTATGTAGAAAATTATAACTTGACATTAGTATATATGACATTGATATGACATGGATATAACATGTCATCTATGTAAGGGAAAGTGATACACATGGTGGATTTAATAATCTCATTTTGATTAAGTTCAGGTGTCCAGATATCAAAAAGTTAAGTAGAAGAGTTCATAATACAATTTGATACAAAAACGAGGGCCCACCAGATTATTCTGTCAAAATAAAATTTCTTCTTTTTCTTTCTACTTAAGTGGTAAAATTAACTACAACTTCAGATTTAGAAAGTGTCAGCGTTAGCACCATGAAGCTCAAATCCAATTGGAGGGGCAGTTCGATCCTTTCATCAAATTTCATATACTGCAAAGAAGTTCTTTTACATCTTTACCATTCTCACTTCTAAGGTCCGTCCTTTGTCAAATTTTGACCTTTAATGCATTATAAAGAAAATAATAATTATATAGCAAGTTTATCATTTTATCATTATTAATTGAAAAAATTTCCTATGTATTATTGACTATGCATATTTCTAAGGCATTAATTGTTAATAAATTGAGTATAATTTTTTTAAAAAAAAGATTGCCCTTATTTGATTTGTCAAAGATGACAAGTAAAAAAGTAAATTAAATTAAAAAATAATTGACAAGTAACAAAAACAAGTATCTTATCACGACTTCGATTAAATGAGATTTATAATCTTGACTAAATCAAAATAAACCAATACTCTAAAATTTCTATTTATTGCTATGGGTTTAACTCAAGTTTCTCTCTCTTGAATAGGAAAATATGAGTTTGTTATATCAAGGTTCCATCAAAACTAGAGTTGGTTATTTTGATGGGAAAAAAAAATACTCAAAAAGCGTGCAAATGATCTTCTAAAGAAAATAAATCACAACCGTTGAAATCTCTGAGGATGCTTACTGTTTTGTCAAGTCCAGCTGGTTCTGAAAGGATTGTAACCCTACACTGAGTTTAAGAAATAAGAACCATAAAAGGCCTACACTGTGACGCGAATGCAATCTCAACAGAGGCACTTTTCAAATTGCATACTATTAACAATATTCTCAGACAGACGAATTGGAAGTCAAGCATAATGTTATTCTGATATACTAGACTGTACAATAAGTAAAAACATTTACACGATGCTTAATTCATAACCAACACAGCAGAGGCATCTTCAAAGAACCTTCAGAACCATTTTGCCTGTCTTGTGAACCCCTTTAGCAGCAAGTCTAATAACAGATCGGCTCTTGTACAACCTGCAGAAACAACAGGCTTAGTCACAAAAATGTCAAGCCTTTCAAAACATTGTTCAAGTCAGATACAGTACATATATTGAGATCAAAAGAACAAAATCTGCACTAAATTATTTCTTTAAAGATAAATAGAATCTGTTTACAAATTGGTCCACTATTTTAAGCCTCAACTGTGAAAGCTAAAAGTTATCAGATGCACATAATTTCACCCAAACTTGTCTATTTTACATAAGGATCTAAAACACCACAGAAATTTCACAAATTACATCACATATTTCAATTGAAATTTATTCTGTGCAAGTTACCAATGTTCCAGTGCAAATACCAAAATTTCTAAAAACAAGTAATATCAGAAATATGTACAAATTAAAATGGAGAAATATGGTCAGTAATATTCATAAACCCGACCCAAACTTATTCGGGACGGACTACTGAGGTATTGTTATGTCTTATAAGATTGGAAACATACGAAATCAAGAAATGATAAATGAGTGCTCACCCCACAACTGCAAGTCCCCAAGTGGAAAGGACGTAGAACATTTGCGCGGCATGCCAAATGTTGAACAATGTTTCTACTTTACCAATGCCAAACTTATTCGGGACGGACTACTGAGGTATTGTTATGTCTTCTAAGATTGGAAACACACGAAATAAAGAAATAATAAATGAGTGCTCACCCCACAACTGCAAGTCCCCAAGTCGAAAGGACGTAGAACATTTGCGCGGCATGCCAAATGTTGAACAATGTTTCTACTTTACCAATGCCTTCGAATGCTTTTGCCAGGGCTGTAAGTCAAGTTGAAAACCACACATCATAAAAAAGAAATGTACATGCCTATACATGTAAATATCCATTATCCAAGAGGGAAACATGAAAAAGAAAATGTAGAAGTGAATTTTGCAGCCGACTCTGGATGTTTTTATGGTAATTATGCTATAAGAACGAAGATTTTCAGAAAGAATAGGATAGAACAATCAGTAACTTACTCTTTTGCAGTTCTTCAGGAGACATCTTCTGCAATTGCAATACACAAACAGTCAAAAGATTGACATGACTCAAACATAACTTGAAGGGAAAATACACGTTTAATCCATGAATGATTCTTGTTTCAATCCCTGTGTAATTTTACCAAGCACATTTAGCTTTTAGTTAAACTTTATGCGCAGTGTCAATCCAATCATAGATGGAAAATAAACGGAAGTTAGATAGCTCCCACTCTGATTTTGCCTGAAGGTATTATGGCACAGCATTTCTTACAACCCGTGCACATACAACTACTTTTCCACTAGCTTGTTCTTGATTCAAGTTCAAATCTGCTATCTGAAGTAACTATTCCCAGTAAATTAACAGCAATAAAGGTTCCCCATAGCCCTACTAACTTGAAGAGACAAAATAATGAGGACAGGAGTGCGAAGAGAGTGTGACTAACAGAAGTGGTAATAAAAGTTGGTAGCAGTGGTGAAGTCCCAGCCCATCTAGGAGGATCATCCAGATGGGCTGTAGGTTAAATGTGCTTCATCAATGAACATAGGGACAAACCCAGAATAAAACAATAATTCAAGGACTAATTGTTAATTGTTAACATCCCTAATTGAAATATAATAAATATGCATAAAACTATCAGTTTCCTTGTACCTGAGCCTTCGAATTGGATACTACGCATCTAGCCATAAAGTTGGCAACTGCATCTACAACATATTCCTCACTAACAATCACATAGTTATCATTATCTATTTCGCTTCTTTCTTCAAGATTGCCAGGGACCATATCCTCAGTCACCCAAACCCACCAACTTGGTTCTTCAAGACTCATGTTCACCAGAAGTTCTGCTGTCTCCGTGTCAACATCTAACAATATTTTGTTAGAGGTAAATCAGAAACTGGCAAAATAAAAGGTAGCAGAACCTAACAACATATTTAAGAATAAGATGACAAGAAACACCATGTTTCAAAACTAAAAAATAATGAGAGGCGAAAACAAGTTCCTTGTCAATCAACTACTGAACTCTGGTAAACTTTTACACTCTTTCAGTTTCATTTACATCAACAAAAGGGATGAGACATATAGAAGATTAAGAGAAGTACTGAAAAACGAATTAGTTAAAAGCCCTATGACTCGACCTAATTCAAAGGAATGACTATATTCCTGAATCTCTTCTATAATACACCGGATACCTACTACCTCCCAAACCATAGGTAGTGGAGTAACTCTGCCCACTAAACATCTTTAAAAAATAAGATGTCATCTTGCAAAAGCAAAAAAAAAAAGAAAGACACAGAAATCAGAATAACGAACCAGTTGCCTCCTTGAAAGGAAATTGACAGTCATTCCCATCAACAGATTTCCGATTCAGTGTTTCCAGCTGTTTCAAAAAGCTTCCGGATTCCACAGCGGCTAAGAGACGTTCATGAAGCTTCCCAAAATAAAAATCAAAACACAAAAAATATTAAAACACAATCCAAATGTTGAGAACATTTCCCTACTCACATAAATACATTTATATATTTATATGTCCACATACATAAAATAAAAATATCAATTGGCTGTACAGAATAAAAGGGAACATACATCAGGTGGACAATTTTGAAGTAAGGAAGGAGATTGTGACATGCTCTGAAGAAGCATAAGATTTTTTTCAAGCAACCGTTTGAGCCGTTCGTTTTCAGACCTCAAAGATCTCAATCCATCTTCTTCACAACTATGAGATACATCAAACGACGTCGTATCAGTATGACTGTGGGTATGGTGATGACAGCGTTCCACCGCCGACCATGCTACATCGGCCACCTCCAACACCGTCTTCGCCACCTCAATTGGATTGTGTCCCTTCATAGAAACCCTAAATTGAATTATTATTTTGTGAAAGAAAGTTGACTTCTTTTGCTTTCTGAGCAATAAAATTGGATGGAATATGACTAATCCAATCAATACATAATAAGTATTATTATTAATATTAAAAAAAATATAAGACAAAACAGTTCATTATCTTTAGACTTGTGCTTAAACTAATCCTATTGTTTGTAAGGTAATCATTTGTAGTCCATATACTTTTAAAACTAGGAACTAATTAAAACTAGTACATATTTAGTTCCAATTCTAACGGCCGTAATTGTTTTAACAAAGACAACTAATATGCACCTGACTTCAAGTCAAAGCAAACAAACTTCTTTCTCTTAAAAAAAGATGTACTTTAAATTTTTTCGAAAAAATATAAAAATAAATAGTTATGTACTTAAATAAAATGGTTGCAGTTGAAAAAAGTTATTGATGTGTTTGATAAATAGGTATTGGCCAACACTTTATTTAATTAAAATGTCTGAAATACCGCTAAAATTGTTAACATTATAAAAAGAAGGGATTAAGTTAAGGTTTTTATTTCTAAGAAAAAAATTGAAACAAAATTAATTTAGAATTTAAATTTATTTGAATAACTTATTATTTAAGCTAATTTTTTATGCACAACTTTTTTTAAATTTTAAAGATATATAATTTGAATAGATTTATAAAAGTTTTAAGATTTATTTATTAATTCATCCGTGAGTAATAACATTTGCCTATCATTTACATATTTTTTGATCACCACATATTAGCTCTAAAAGAGGAATGTAACTTTATTATTTAAGTTAATTTTATATGCACAATTTAAGAAAAGATATAAAGTGACACCTGAAGTTATTCTGAATTTTTAAAAACACACCTTAACTATGCAGACATCCTATTACCCCCCTAAACAATTCCGAAAATATATTATTACATTATTTTTTTATCAATTCGAGATTTTAAATGGCAAGTGTTATCACACACCAATCATTGTCTGACACGTGTTAATTTAATTTGAAATATATATATATTTTCATTTTAAGTTTTTCTTTATTTCTCTCCTACTTTTTGACTTATTTTAATTTTATTACTTTAATTTTAATTTTATTTTAATTTTCAATTCATCTTCCACCCCTACTTTCAATCTCCCTCCATTTTCTTTCTTTCTTTCTTCTTCTTCACCTCTCACCCTCACCTAATCCCACCCCCACATCAAGTTGAGCCCCTTCATTTTTTTTTCTTTTTTTCTTTTTTATTCGGTCAAATTCCTTACTTTCCAGAATTACACTATTTTCTAGACATTGTTGAGTTATTTTTATCTAAACTAATTATTTTCTAAGAAAGATCAAAATTTTGAAGATATCATCATTTAATTTATCCCATTTCCATATAAATCGAAAACTAGAAATGATAATTTTGAAAGCATAAGAATTCTCCAAAAATTGAAAAACATTAATTGAAAATTGAATAAAAAACTAAATAATGCCTACTAATCATCTTGAAATCTAATGAGTTTATCAAATTGTTTTAAATGTAATAAAATATCTAGATAAATTTTATAATTGAAGAGACTTAAACTAATAGTAGAATAAAAGAGAGGTGGAGTTGTGGTAAAAAGTGACATTGAAAGTGATAAGTTGATGAAGATGACAATAAATTTTTGAAAAAGAAGGATGAAAGAAAAAGAAAAAATAATAAGGAGAAAAAGTTAAAATAATAATAAAATAAAAAAATAATTTTATAGCAAAAAATTCTTGTAAAAATAAAATTATATTCATTTTTTTAGTTTGTTCGCTCTTGAAGAGAGTGTATACACTCTCAATGTCATGTGGACAAAAAATAATGTAATAATATCAGTTCTCTTATAAACATATTTGTATTATGGTGAATGTCTAATTATTTGGAGTTCTTTAGGATATGGTTAGGAATCCTACTTGTAGACCAAGCTAGGTTTCCCTCTAAATAAGGGGGTTTTCTTCATTGTAAATAAGATTTGAGGAAGATCGATGAATCTTGAATATAGCTCAACAAGAATAAGAAGTCTTTTCTCTTCTCCCTACTTTTTTCTTCTTCTTGTTTATATAGTTTCATAACATGTTATCAACACGATTGTTCCATTCTTAAAGAATTATGATAGAAGACGGGAAAAGTGCAAAAGAGATCTTGCATAAGTTATGCAATAAGGTTCTCGTATCGGTAAGGTATGATTTATCTTTACTATGTTAGTTATAATTATTTATGTGACAGATCTGGAGTTACCATCTGGAGTAAGTATTTAAAGATCCCTATCGACTTTTCATACGTTTTATTTTAACCGATTGGGAATAGAATTCTTTAACTTATTTTAATAATTAAATAAGCGCAATGTAGTGAAAGATTGTTTTCAATATTAATATGAGGTATGTGATCTATTAAGTTATATTTATTAACTACTAATGTTGATTAAAATATATCAATTATCTCAATTTTGTGTGTAATTATAATATACGATCATATTCATGATCATTAAAAATGATAAAATTACAATTATGTGAACGTTTGAGGTTGAGGTTCATTGTGGGTAAGACGATAGATTTAAGTTTTACCGCACCAAAAGAATAAGATGGTGGATTTATGTTCAATCACACCAAGAGGATAAGACATTAGGTTAAAGTCCTGGTGCACCACAATGAGAAGATATTCGGTTCAAGTTTCATCAATTTATGGTCTAAAACACTCTTACATGGATAAGACATTGAATTTAAATTTTAATGCACAATATTAATGATATAATAATGACTAAAGAAAAACTAATGTGTTTTTGATGAGAAGTAATGAAATATACTGAATTTTCTCCATTACGTAAAGTGAATATGATAGTAGTGCATAATATGTCTGAAAGAAGAAGTGATTTAATAATGCACATAAATATGGAACAAGGTACTAAAACTATCATAATTTGATATGCTCATATATTTGTGTTCCATTAATCAAGAATGAGAACTTTTGATATGTAACGACCTGTTTAGTCGTTTTGAGCAGCAGATTTTATTTCTGGAAAAACAGGCTGAGACAACGGAACCCACGACGGAACGTCATGGGCGCGACGGACCGTTGAGGGTGTCTCGTCCCAAAACACTTAGAAATTTCTAAAATTTGGGTGCTGAAATCGACTCTCTGAACTCTGTGACGGACCTGAAGGACGGACCGTCACAGGCACGACGAACCGTCGTGAATCCACCGTTTCAAAACACTTCAACTCCTGAGAATTGGGTACAGGGAACGATTCTCTGAACGTCATGACGGAAGTGCAGGACGAACCGTCGTAGGTAACACGGGCCGTCACAGATTCCTTAAGGAAATTGAGTCTCTGATGAACCTCCATGACGGACCGTCGCAGGTGCGACGGGCCATCACAGGTTGCGTAATCCCAGTCGGAGTCGGATTTCTGGTTAAGTTTTAAAGGGGCGTTTTGGACTATTTCTTGCTATAATTATATATTTCGTGGGTTTATATTAATAACTCAATTACTTGGGGGTTAAAAGAGGTAACCTTAAGTTAATTAGTAGGTTATTATTGCCATCTTTTATTCTTAACTATATACTAATTAGGGTAAAAGAAAGAGGGTTTGAATAAAGAAAATAGAAAGAACAAGAGAAAGAGAGAGAAAGTTGAACGAGGAAGAGAGAAAACGAAGAACAAAGCTTGGGGAAATTGCTTGCTTGATCACTAATCTTCGGTGGAGGTAGGTTATGGTTTCTCTTATGATATTCGTAGTAAACTCTTAATAGCGAATGATATGTATTGATAATATTGTAAACCCTACTATGTGCTTAATTGTATGCTTGCATGAATGTAATTATATAATTGTGATTATATAAGCATGATGAAGTTATTGAATCCCAAATCTTTCAAAACCCTAATCTCTTTGTTAATGATGAGGCCTTGCTATAAAAGAAGGCGTGATGAACTAAAATAATGAGATTTATGATGCCTTGGTAAGAAAGAAGGCTTGATGAATTGATAGAAGAAGAATTAGTGGATTGGGTGTCACGAACCGACACGTAGAATTAGGGGATCGGGTGTCACGAACCGACACGTAGAATTAGGGGATCGGGTGTTACGAACCGACACGTAGTATTAGGAAATTGGGTGTCACGAACCGACATGTAGATTTAGGGGATCGGAGTGTCACGTACCGACACAAGAGGATTAATGAATATGAGGGAGCGGAGTGTCATGTACCGACACAAGAGAAATAAAGATAATGAATCTTGAAAGATGTTAATATACTCAATCTAATGAACATAATTCCCAAATGAGTATGGCATTGAGGCTTGAGTCCTCATGTGTGAACTTGACGGTAATTGTTAATGATATAGTACTTGTTGTTGCTACATGTTGAGTATCATAGTTGATTTATGATATTACTTGATATATATTGATTTCTATTTTGAGTTGACCGATGATATCTACTCAGTACCCGTGTTTTGTACTGACCCCTACTTTTTTGTTTTCTTCTTGTTTAATTGTGGAGTGCAGCAAACGTGCCGTCATCTTCAACTCAACAGTAACTCTAGCCAGTCTTCACTACATCGGATCTTCAGGGTGAGCTAATGCTTCTAGTTTGGACTGGATCTTCTTCCTCATGTCTTGATGCCTTGAAGTTCCGGCATGGACTAGCTTTTACTTGTTTTAGTTGTTAGAATACTCTTAGTTTAGTAATTTGATCATAGATGTTCTTGTGATGATGACTTCCAGATTTTGGGGATAATAATAGTTATTGATTTTATTAATGAGTTTAAGTCTTCCGCATTACTTTTGTTGATATTATATTGAAATGTTAAGGTTTAGATTTGGTTGGTTCGCTCACACAGGAGAGTAAGTGTGGGTGCCAGTCACAGCCCGGATTTGGGTCGTGACAAACTTGGTATCAGAGCATTAGGTTCGTTGGTCTCATCACACAAGAACGAGTCTAGTAGAGTCTTAAGGAAATGGTAGGGGGACGCCTTTAC